TGATTCCAACGCGACATAAGAGGTCTCATGTTTCAAAACAAGAGCCGAAAAAATTCAATATAATTATTTGAATTAAATTGACTTAAAGTATGCTCTGTTCCATCATCAAGCGAAAATTTTTTTTGGAATTCCAACAGTGAATGTGTTAACGTTAATGTGGAGTTATTGAAAAGAGTTCACGGGAATCTTGCAAAGCGAATACAGTTTTACATCAGAAATAATGGAAATCATATTGAAGATATTTTTTTGTCAAGATTCCAATTTAATAATTTGTTGAAAATGTAATTTCTTGAAAATATGCATTTTTGCTTATGTGTCCAAGACTTTAGGGACACCCTGTATATTAATCATTTCACCCCAAGCAAGGTGATAAATGTACTAAAACGCAGGGTGTTATTTATTGTGAGAGAATATGAAAAAAATAAATGATTATTAAGGAGAGTGTACGACAAAGGGATAGGAATTAATAGCGCGGAAGTTAACAGTTGACATTACATTTAAAATTTTGGAGACTAGAAAGCAAGGAGACGAAAGAGAGTTCCACAAGCAAGAAGTGCGATAGAAGAAACTGTCAGCATAGGACTTACGGTGACAACTAGCTAATTCAACTGTAAAAATGATGAAACCTTGTCAGCAATCTAGTAGTACGTTTAGATTTTTAAAATCTGGTTCAGTCAGTTATGCCATGAGTGAGACCAGTTGCCTATAGAATCCGGTCTGTCCTGCTATTTACCCATAGCTGGGGGGTAGAAGAACAGGATTCATACATTTCCCAAGGGTATTATCCCTTTCAGCCAATCAGTTATGTGCCATGCGCGATACACGCTTAGGCGATCATGTAACATTCGATACATAACTGACGAGGCAGATTTTTTTTTCCCGCAGTCGGTTGAAATTTCTTTATGCGGTAAACTAGTTGCCATCCAAGGCTATAGAACCTGGTCATACTGCAAATTTACCCATAGCTAATTGAAGAAGAAGAAGGATTTATACCATTCCCAATTGTATTAGCTCGTCAGTCAGTGAGTTGTGTGCCATGCGTCATACACGCTTAGGCGATCATGTATCTTTCGATACAAGACTGACGAGGCAGATTTTTTTCCCTGCAGTAGTTTGCCATTTTTTTCTGCGGTATACCAGTTGTCATCCAAGGCTATAGAACCCGGTCTGTCCTGCTATTAAATCATAGCTGGAGGGAGACGAAGACGATTCATGCCTTTCCCAAGGGTATTAACACGTTAGTCAGTCAGTTATGTGCCATGCGTGACACACGCTTAGGCAGATTTTTTTCCGCAGTAAGTTGCCATTTCTTTCTGCGATAGACCAGTTGCCCTCCAAGGCTATAGAACCCGGACTCTCCTGCTATTTACCCATAGCTGGGAAAGGGGGAGAAGAGGATTCATACCGTTCCCAAGTGTATTAGCTCCTCAGTCAGTCAGTTATGTGCCATGCGTGATACACGCTTAGGCGATCATTTCGATACATGACTGACGAGGCAGATTTTTTCCCGCAGTAGGATGTCATTTCTTTCTGCGGTAGACCAGTTGCCTTCTAAGGCTATAGAACACGGTCTGTCCTGCTATTTACCCAAGGGTATTAGCACGTAAGTCAATATAATGGATTCGACTGGAATTCGAACACGGGTCTCAGATTCCTTAATCCTAGCCGCTATGCATTACTCTACCGTACCTCCTCTAAGGTCTGGGTACCATAGCGAAATGCTCGCCAGAACATTTATCATGAAAGCATTTATAGAAAAATCACAGAGAAACAATTTTACGGCGGTGGGAATGTGACTGAAGTAGAGATGTCAGATCAGGACCAATAATATTGCTGATCCGTCTTTGGATTTCATCAAGAATCTCTAAATACATCGCAGAAGCACCAGATATGGGTGTGCACGCTTGCTTGCGTGAATGTTCGTGTGTGCGCGACCGAACTCAGAATCGCTCACACATATAATTTGATTATAACGGTAAAGGCATGTATGCAACCAGTAACATTTTTTCGAAGAACACAGAATTGGTACACAGTGACTCAAGAAGCCACCACTTCAAGTCTGAATTCCGAGTTCTATTTCCCCCTGAATGGTTACCACTCGAAAGCAATGTCGTGCTATTTAACCTCTAGCTTTATAGATTCATGCCATTTTCAAGGGAATTGGTGCGGAAGTGAACGAAACAGAATCGACCGGAATTTGAACTCGGCTCGGCGATTCCACTTCCCACGTCGTTCAATTGCGCGCTCGCACACACACACACACACGCACATACCCACACGTTGCTCTTTATACTTGTAAAATCCGTAAAATAAGGTTTTCAATATGCGTTGCCTTTTACACTGTTAAAAAAAAGAGCTTTTGTTGTGCATGAATTACTTTTGACAAACTAAGCAATAAACATATTTGATGAGGACGATGATGATGATGGCGAGAAGGGCGGTGATAACTACAAGATGATGATGATGACAACATCGATGAGGGCGACAATGATGGTGATGATAGTGATGATGATAATAATGAAGGCGACAATGGTGATGATAACTACAAGATGATGATGATGATGACGACGATGATGATGATAACTACAAGATGATGATGATGACGACGAAAATGATGGTGATGACAATGATGATGATGATGATGATTGCGAGATTGGTGATGATAATTACAAGATAATGATGATGATGACGACGATGGTGTTGATGACAGTGATGATGATGCTGATAATAATGGCGACATTGGTGATGATGATGATGATGATGATGATTGTGAGATTGGTGATGATAATTACAAGATGATGATGATGATGATGATGATGGCGATAACGATGGTGATTACGACAATGCTGCTGCAGCTGATGCTGATAATGATGACGATGACGACGATGACAACGACAAAGATGATGACGCCGCTGATCATGTTTAAGATAGTGAGGATGATGCTGCTGATAATAATCATTTTGATGATGATGATGATGATGATGATGATGATGATGATGATGATGATGATGATGGCGGGAACGACGATGGCGGCTACGATGGTGCTGGCGATTATGATGGCCAAGATTTTTTTTTTTTATCACAACGATCATAATAACGACAAAGACGATGGCGATAATGTTGATGATAATGACGATAACAACGATGATAACGACAATGATGCTGACGCTGCTGCTGATGGTAACAACAGTGAAGATGCTGCTGCTGCTTCTGATTTTGATGATGATTTTGATGATGATGATGATGATGATGATGATGATGATGATGATGATGATGAAGATGGCGGAAACGACGATGGCGGCTACGATGGTGCTGGAAATTATGATGGCCAAGATTTTGGCCACAATGATGATGATAACGATAAAGATGATGATGATGATGATGAAGGGGTGGAGGAGATGAGGAGTAGTAGTAGTAGGGAGGGGACTTTGAAAATGGAATTTTTATATTAAATTAAAACTATTTTAAAAGATGTTATGGCCCCCGTCTTCCCGCTCTTTTATTTTAGCAGTGTATTTGTTGTGGTTGAAATAAAATTAATTAATTATACATTTATATGGATTATCATCGGGGAAAAAAGAAGCAAAAAAAAATGATTCATTTTTTTTTTCAACAGTTAAGAAATCTCTAACAACAACAACAACAACGGATTATTATGAAGATAATACTTTTATAAACTTTTTTTGTTATGATACCGTTTTATATATATATATATATATATATATATATATATATATATATATATATATATATATATATTCTCAAGGGCAAAAAAACGTCCAATGTCAAAAATAAAATGAAAAGAGAAATACAAGAGATATTAAAAATAATTTTCTTTTTTTTTACATTTCTCGACTTATTCCTACCTCTTTATTCTTTGTACCTTTTTGGGGCCAGATTTTTTTTTCTACATGAAATGTGTTTCTGGTATTGCGTTTAAATCATACACAATTTTTTTCTTTTTAATATTTCCTTCATTCTTTTTTTTAAATTTTTTTTTATTCTGCCACTTTTTATTTGAGGCCAGAGATATTTTTACCTAAAGCTATAGTTTTCATCCATGTCTTGTATTGTATACTACGCTTGATTATTCCTATGCACTCCCGTCTCCCTTGTGTTTAGAAAAAGGAACCATTCCTGACTTGCTTCTTTTTCTTTTTTTATTTTTTCAGCATTCACTCACTTTTCAACCTGTTCATTTTTTCGCTTGAATTTGGCCTTTCTGTTTCCCCTAAGATCAGAAGTCAAAATATTCTTCCATTTTGTTTTCGTTCATAGTTTGTTTTTTTTTTATTTTTTTTATTTTTCCCATCTCTTCTCCATTACCTTTTCCTGGCCCGACGGCATTAATTTTTTTTTTCTTCTCCTCTCACTCTCTCGATTGTTTTGAAAGAAGGCTTCCAAATGATTTCTTTTCAAAACCAACGAATTTCGAGTTCTTTTTTTGTTCCCTTCTACCCAGCCCCTTAAAATTAAGAAAAGAAGGAAAAAAAAAAAAACCTACATACTTCCTTCTTATTCATTGAGGAACAAAAACAGTGTGTAAACGAGAATTTTGTACTGAAGTATTTGAAAGAATTTATAACATTTTTTTTTGCTTCATTTTTCTTTTTATTTTTTAATTTCGCAACAGCAGAAATTCCTGATTTTTCAATAAAATTAAATATTTTCAAGAATTCTACTTTTTTTTATCCTTATTTTTTTCCGTTCTCTTTTTCTCAATTAACTCTCAGTCCTTGCATGTGAATTCAGAAGGGAGCAGGATGAAAGTCTTCCTGGTTCGGAATAATAATAATAATAATAATAATAATAATAATAATAATAATAATAATAATAATAATAATTAAAGAAAGAAAACAGTATTGAAAAGACTTTATCTTTTCCTTCTCTTAAATCACGCTCTTCTCTAAGTGCTGTAAAATATTGGAAGAGTCGATCATTTTGCTTGTTTAATAATAATAATATAAAGAAGAAGAAGTAAGTTCAGAAGAAGAAGATCATCAACAATAACAACAAGGATGAGAAGAGGAGGATAGAAATGAAAAAAGAAGAGAGATGAGAAGAGGACGAATAGAAGAAGAAGAAGAAGAAGAAGAAGAAGAAGAAGAAGAAGAAGAAGGAGGAAGAGAAAAGATAAGGAGGAAGGAGATGGGGAAAAGAAGAAAGATAAGAAGAAGAAAAAGAAAGATGAGAAGAAGAAATATTGTAAGAGGAGAAGGAAAATGAGAAAAAGAAGAAAGATAAGACGAGGACGTCGATGAGAAGTAGAAAAAATGAGAAGAAAGAAGAAAAAAGAAAAGTGTTGACGCGAAAAGAAGAAGAAGAAGAAGAAGAAGAAGAAGAAGAGGAAAGAAAAAGGAAAAGAAAGAAAAGAAAAAAAGGGAGTAAAAGATGAGAAGAGGAAAGATAAGAAGAGCGGGAGGGAGATGAGAAGAAGAAGAAGAAGAAGAAGAAGAAGAAGAAGAAGAAGGAAGAAGAAGAAGAAGAAGAAGGAAGAAGAGAAAAGAGGAAAGATAACAAGAGGAGGGGGAGATGGGGAAAAGAAGAAAGATAAGAAGAAGAAAAAGAAAGATGAGAAGAAGAAATATTGTAAGAGGAGAAGGAAAATGAGAAAAAGAAGAAAGATAAGACGAGGACGTCGATGAGAAGTAGAAAAATGAGAAGAAAGAAGAAAAAAAGAAAAGTGTTGACGCGAAGAGAAGAAGAAGAAGAAGAAGAAGAAGAAGAATTAGGAGGACAGGAAGAGAAGAAGAAGAAGAAGAAGAAGAAGAAGAAGAAGAAGAAGAAGAAGAAAAATGAAAAAGAAGAAGAATGTTGAGAAGAAAGAGGAGAAAAAGACGAGGAGAAGAGGATGGAGATGAGGAAAAGAAGAAGAAAGATGAAAAGAGGACGAAGAAGAAGAAGAAGAAGAAGAAAAAAGATGAGAAAAAGATGAAGAAAGATGAGAAAAAGATGAAGAAAGTTGAGAACAAGACGATGATGATGAGAAGGAGAAGAAAGGTGAGAAGAAAGATGAAAAGAAAGTAGAAGAAAAAAGAAGAAAAAGGATTAGAAGAATGATGAAAAAAAAAAAGAGGAAAAATGAGGATGAGTGTGGGAGGAGATGAAGAAGAAAAAGAAGAAATTCCCAAAGAAATTATTTTTTTCTTTTCTCCAGCTTCACTGTAGAACCGGGGAATGGAATTATTTTAAGAACTGGGTTTACATAGTTTTTAGTTTCAACAACCGTTTCCTCTCTCTCCATCTCTCCCCCACTCTCTCTCTTTCACACACACACACACACCTTCTCCCTCCCTTTCCTTGCTTCCTGTTCAGTTATCCACTTTACTTTTTAACTTCTTCATCAATTACAGTAAAAGTTCTGGCTTTATTTCATTTTCCAAAATGGGCGAATATTCTTGAACCAAGGATCGGGCCGAGAAGAATTCTATTTGGCGTTGCAACATGTCTTTTTAAAATAATAAACAAAAAAAATGAAAAGCTCTCTGTTCGACTTCTTAAAGTTAGACACGCACGATGGCACCATAAAAAAAAAAAAAAAATTCTTGGATTTGTTATTAGCTATTTTTGAAGAGGTTTTTAAAATAATCTTATTCTTAATGTACCAACTCAACTAACAAACAACCCCCTAACCTCTGGATAAAAATAACAGTGTAAGAGAACAAAATAAAAGGAAAATGTTTTTTATTTGATCTCGACAATAAATAAATAAATAAATAAAAATAAAACGTTTTTTTTTAGTTCCAAACACCCCAATATCCCAAGTAACTAAAAATCTATGCCTGTTGTTCATCGCCCTTTCGTCAAGAAATAAAGGTATTTAAATGGGGTTATTAGCATTACTAATTATTGCCAGTAACGAAGTCAATCCAACATCTCATGACTTGAAGACAAAATATACACATTATTGTATTTTTTCTTCGATAATCCCAAAAGAAGAATTAAAAAAACAAAAACAAAAAAACAAAAACACAAAAACAAAACTTGTCTAACCAAATGAGGGAATGTCAAGAAATTGGAGACATTTTCCACTTTTCAAATCTTTATTACACAGTAAAGAAAGGATGTACAGTTTGGTGAATTCTTGATTTTTTCTCTTTTTTTTTTCTTCGTTTATACATATATATATATATATATATATATATATATAGTAAATGTGCCCAATATAAGTTATTTAGCTTAAAATAAATAATATTACCTCAGCAACGCAAATTTCAACATTTAAACAAGGATCGCAGGATTTTTAAAATAAAATTCCAATACGGACCTAGACTGACGACCCCTGTTTATAAGGTGAAATTTGAATAATATTATATATATATATATATATATATATATATATATATATATATATATATATATTTATTTATTTATCTTAGCAAACACTAATGAGTAAAAAGTCGTAGTCAGCTTTGAGCAAAAGGCATTTTTTCTTTTCAATGAAGGAGGTTTAAAAATCTGTTTCTAAAATAAAGTGAAAATAATCTTTCTTTTTCTACT